CCCTGGGGTGTGGATGTGCCCTGGCGTATTATTATTATTATTATTATTTTTTTTTTTTTTTACTATTTTCTTTTTTTTTAATTGCTGGGGGCGTAATTGCTTTGCAATCAGCTGCGAGGGGTCCCTCCAGCGGCCGGAGCCTGCAGCAGCAGGGCTGCTCTGTCCCCCCCCAACCCCGTGGCTGTATTTCGGCTCCAGCCCCACATAGGAGGTGACCCCCACCTTAGCTGAGCCCCCCTTTTGCTGTGGGGGTTAGCTGGTGGGGCAGGGAGGTGGTCGTGCCTCCCCTTTGCCCTGCTCTGCTCACATCTCCCTCCAGGCGCCCGGCACAGCCGGGGACAATACTCACCTGCTCCAGCCGGCAGGAGGGTTGTTGCTTCTCAGGCCTGACCCAAGCAAGCCCCCACGTCTGGCACCCAGTCCTCACTCCATTGGGTTGAACCCCTTAATTAATAGGCTTGGAGACCCTCAGCTGCACCATGCAACACCTTAGCACCCTAGGGACCCCTTCCCAGCCCCTGCCTGAGCATGGCCTCACTTGGGCAGCATGAACCCATTAACATTTTTTGCTGGCCGGGGACCAGGCCTGCCAGGCTTTTGCATCGCTTCAACAAACGCCAAAGGGTTTTACTTCCAAAGAGCCTCTTCCTCAGGGCCCCGTGGCGGCACAGCTCGTCCTTCCCAGGCATGCAGGCAAAGGTGGCACTCGCTTTGCAAGTCCCTCCTGACATGGCCTGCTTCACTTTTCTGTTTGCAGCCTGCGTGCCAGCTAGCAGTGAGCCCTGGAGCTGGCTCTGTGCGGCAATCTTAGTGCCAGCGCTGAGCTGTGCTGCTTGACCCCAGGAGTTAATGGGGTACAACCCAGTACACGCAGGAAGCCATCTCGAGCTGCTCACCTGTCCTGGGCCCGCAGCTGGAGATAGTCACTCCAGCAATGGAGAAACCCACCTGGAACAAAGGCACTAGCATGAACCAGGAGGAGAGGGGGAGTTGCATGTGCCTGGGGGAGGGGGGTACAAGACCTATGCATCATGGCAGGGGTATATGGAGTGGCCTGGCCCTGCCTTGCAGCCTGGCAGATCTGGCCCAGAGGTCCAGCACCCTCTGGGCACTGCCTTCTGTCAGTGCTTGGGTTGGGACTGTGACTGCATGGAAGAAAAGAGTGCTTACCTGTGGCACGCAGTGTCTCGAGGCCCTGAGGCCTGGAGATCAGCAGGGGAGCTGGACATTTATCTCTTCCCCAGTGCAAGGGTGGCCGGCTCTCACCACCTCATCCACCATCTGAACCCATCACTGCTCTCAGACACTGGCCTGATGTCTCAGGCAAAGCAGATCCCTCCTCTTGCAGGCACAACAGCCTGGGCCTTTGTGGTCCACCCCCCCGCTTCTCATCCCCACGGCTTCAGCTACTCTCTGAATGAATCAAAAAATCACAGAAAATGAGGGTTGGAAGGGACCTTGGGAGGTCACATCTAGTCCAAAGCAGGACCAGCCCCAACTATATCACATCCCAGCCAAGGCTTTGTTGAGCCGGGCCATAAAAACCTCCGAGGATGGAGATGCCACCACCTCTCTGGGTATGAGAGGCATCACAGACCCTCTGAACTGTGGAAAATACATTGCATCTGAAACACCCTATTAACCAACCGATAAATAAATGCGGTTCTGCTTGGGCTGGGAACAAGGACAGCTAGATTTAAAAACCATGTTTTTGGGCAGGGGCAGATAAACCACAAGTACAGAAGATGTGTTCATATATGACCTGCCTGTGTCTACACCAGGTGCTAAATCACACCGAACACATTTTTAGCTAAAACAGAAAAACACGTTTCGAACACAGATCCTACCTCAGGCAGGAGGTCAGACTAGATGACCCCTCGAGGTCCCTTCCAGCCCCGATTCCAGCCCTCTGGGGTCACAGCCTGAAGGAGACTCTCTCAGCCTCTCGAGCAGGCCCAGCCGAGCTCCCTAAGTGCAAGCATCCGTGCCCTGCAGCCCACCTCACCCTGGCTTACATGGGCCACATCCTGCTCGGTTCATCCTGCGCAGCCCCTACCCCTGAGGTTACTAGCGGGGTGGGGGAAAGAGGGTGTGTATCTGATCCACCACCAGAACCATGAGCCATGGGGAACATCTGCTAAAACCAGAGGTGGCCATGAGGGGGCACCCGTGCCACAGACAATTAATTCGCCCAGCTTCGTTAAGTCAGGATCTAGGACTTGGCCTGGGACCTCCGCATTATGCCTCGCTTGCAGGTACCACCACCCGCTTCAAGAATTGGATCCTGGACAATGAAACGGAGGAGGCCGCTAGCGCTCAGACCCTCCACGAGAAGAAAGGGATTCCCTGTAACACAGGGTCACAGCCGTGTCTGTACAGCGCCCGGTGCTCTGGGGTGCAGCTTCTGACCTGGACCCTTCAGCATTGCAGCTAGGCAAGTGCTAGCCCGTTAGGCAGCTGGACGACACAGGCAGAGCATCCACCAGTAAATAGGGGAACATAAAAACATGAGCAGAGCTATACTGCGTCAGAGCAATGGTACCTTTCAGTCGCTTTCCTGGCTCCTGTAGCTGACAGCTTCAAACCAGAGATCCCTAGAATGATCTATCCCCTCAATGCCAGAAGAAGCATCTCCTAGCGTTCTGCTCAAGGACAGTATGTGCAGGTGATTTGGACAAAAAGCACCGGGTACAGTCCTGTCCCACCCCCTGCGACAAGGAAACGGGGCAGGGACAGAGCCAGAGAGACGGCTGTCTGTAAACTGGGTTTATTCTCATGGCCTGGTTCATCCTTTACACAGACGGGGCGGAATGAGACAAGACAAGCTGTGCACGCTTCACAGGCAGATGCGGCATGGGGCTAGGCTCGGGCATCGCCAGGCAGGAGGAAGGGGCAAAATGGCAGGGGGACACGGCACCGGGGTGTTGCTTTTAGGTGGGGTCCAAGGGCCAGGCGGCCTTAAAGCCAGACAGGCAGGGGAGGCGGGGGGCAGCTCCGGCAAAGGCTCTCAGCTCGGAGGGGTAACACGGACTATCGCCCTCCCCTCCAGGGCCCAGGAAGATTGTGTCTTTGCCCAGAGCCATGCCCTCCAGCTCCAGCTCCACCTCGGGCTTCACCTCCTGGCTGTGCTCTGCAGAAGGAGCCCGGCGCTGGCCTTCCTCATCCTCCCTCTCCTCCTCTTCAGGTGGGGACACGTCCAGCAGGAACTGCAGCCTCTCTGCAGCCCCCTGCACGGTGCCCAGTGGGTGCCCAGGGAAGGCTCGCCCCTGCAGCCGAGGGGGCAGGAAGCTGACCCCCATCAAGAGGGCATCTGATTTGGGGAGCCCCAAGGGACCATGGGGCTGGGCGTGCTCTGGCAGGGGCAGCACCGCCTGGCCGTGGGGGAAGACGTGGCCAGAGAAGCGTGGCCACTCAGGCGGGCTGGGCACAGGGCAGTGGCTGGGCGAGCAGAGCTGGCGGCTGCCATTAGGGGTGAGCCTGGGGGGCGGGAAGGCAGCCAGGTGGGGGAACTCATCCTGCACCCCTGGGCTGCAGTAGGAGCCAAAGAAGCAGGGTGAAGGGATGGAGCCAAAGCCTGTGGAGAGACAGGGAGAGGCATGAGACTGGCAGCAGCCTGCTCCGGCACCATCTGGGAGTCAGGACACTTGGGTTCTGCCCCCACTCAGCTGCTGGGTCCCTCCTTGTGCTTCTGTTTTGCTTCCCCTCCCTTTGGTCATTCAGACGGTGAGTGCAGCGGGGCGGCACCGATCTCTCCGCTGCAGCCGCGGACACGGTTTCACCTGCAGGCCCCATTCTAGGCCGGGAGGAGCTGCATGGGACAAGCAGCCCTGGTCCCCGTGCCTGAGCCTCGGGGAGGAGGGATGTTGGCAGGACGTCAGCGCAGCCCCTGCTTCAGATGCCTCCCTCCGTCCCTCCCTCTCCGCAGCCTCCTGTGATTTCCCGGCCGCACCTTGGGTGCGGGAGCCTGCGCAGATTCCAGCCTGGGCAGCTCTCCAGGAAGCACCTGTAGCCACCTGTGCCAGGCCCAGCTGACGTCAGGGTGTGGGAGGCAGGCAGGCCTTTCCAGTTCCCGCCCCGTGGGGCCCATGTTGGCATCAGCGGCCCCCACATGCCACGGCAGCAAGACAAAGCTGTGCCATGGGCGCCTTCCTTGCCCATCCTGGCACGTGCATGGCTGAGCCCTGCCACCCCAGTGCCCACAGGCTCAGAGGGGAGCTGGCTGTGCCCACCCAGGGGCCTGTGATGTACTGGCAGGTGCCAGCCTTGCATGGGAGGTGAGGGCAAGCGTGCACCAGTGTGCACGTGCTGTTGCACGTGTGCATGCCCAGGCTGCATTGCTCCAGTGCAAGGTCTCCAGACGTCCAGCCCACTTGCCATCAGACCTGTTCTTAGCACAGCAAAATGGGCTGTATGATGCCCCTGGCTCAGCTATTCACCCACCCGCCCCCAGCACTTACGAGCTCCCCCGGCCACAGCTTTCTTGTCCCCCGTGCCGTCTGCGCCTGATGGCTCCTGCAGGCCGCGGTGGCAGGCCAGCTGGTCAGGCAGTGCCCGGCGAGTGAAGAGCATGTTCTGTAGGAACTGGAGCGGGGAAAGGAGCAAAACCATCTCAGCCCCAAGCCCAGCCTGGGCCCACACCCCACTTAGGCTGGGTAAACCATGCCCCGTTGGCCTGCGGTTACCTCGCTCTGCAGCCCAGTGGAGACCATGGCGGGGCGGCACATACTGGCAGCTCCCAGCAGCAGCGGGGGTGCGGGGCAGCGCAGGTCCCACAGCGGGTAGTTGACAAAGATGAGCTTGCTGAAGTTGAACTTGTAGGTGAAGCGCTTGCCTTTGGTCTTGTGCAGGATCCGCTTGTTGTAATAATACCTGGGGGAGACAGGAGCCCGGAGAGAGAGCGCAAGGGAAGGAAGGACAGATGGACTGTCAGTGCTGGTGGAGAGGAAGATTTGCACTAAGAGAGTCCTATAAACCCTCCCCCAGGGTGGGGACCAGCAACAGGGGAGTCTGGCCACAGCTGGACAACAGCACTGGTACCTGCCTGCCTCGGGTCTGCCAGCCCAGGGCATCCCACTGTGCCTGGGAAGAAGAAAGGGAGAGGGGTACCAAAGGAGAGAGGAAGGAAAGCAGGAGCTGGAGAGGACGCTTGTTCTCTCCCCTGCACCATTCATTCCTTCCTGGATCCCAGGGTTTAGGCTGAGTCTGGTCCCCCCTGAGCCCCTCCAGGTTAGGGCCCAGGTAAATCCCAGCTGTCCCTCACTTCCAAAGTGATGGGCCATGCACAGCCCTGGAGCTGAGCACGCTTCCACAGGGATCAGGCCCAGAGACGAGCCCAGTTGCTTTGTCTGACCCAGTACCCAGGCTGCAGTACAGCCCAGGGGTACTGCTACAAGGGACCCCAGACCAAGCCTCCGGGCAGCGCTGCTCCTGCCTCGCACCTGAGTGCCCGGCTCAGCTTATCATAGTTCATCTGGGGCTTGCATTTCCTCCGGCCCCACAGCCGTGCCACCTCGTCGGGGTCCTTGATCACGAACTCGCCGTACTCGCCCTGCTGCCAGGCGATGACGTGCCGGAACTCCTCCTTCTGCAGCAGCTCCAGGATGAAATGCCACAGCTGGATCTGGCGGGAGCCAGGGCTGGACTCTGCCTTGTAGGCCCAGTCAGGGAACGCCAGCCCTGTAGAGCAAGCGGGAGCACAGATGGACCCTGGGAACAGTGCTATGCATGCACCGTTCCTACCCTTCTGCCCCCACCACCAACAGGATGCAGCTTTGTGTGCAGCTGGTAGACAGGTGCCACATGCCACCCCAGAGCTGACTGCATTTCAGTGCTGGGCATGCAATTCCTGTGCAGCATTGTTTGTGGTTGTTAACCAGCTGCCTATCCAGGTTGGAGGGAAACAACTCCCTCTGTAAAGTGCTTTGGGAGAGGCAGGGGCTCAAGACATCAGAATTGGACCCAGAGCTCCAAGTTTGCCCCCAGGACACCGACCATCTCCATGGGGGGAAGAAAGGGGCTGGCTCCTGTTCTCACCTGAGATCCAGTAGGAGCTGGGAACTGCTGGCACGCCCTCGGCTACACAGCTACACTGCATCTCGCCAACCTGGAGAGTGCAAAGGCAAAGCCATCACTGCAGGGGAAGGGGCTGCCTGGGAACAGGAGCTGCCAGCAGCCCTGGGAGGGCAGCGTGGGTGGAAGTGCTCTTCACCCATTCAAGCAGGGGGTGCTGGGAGCCAGGACTCCTGGGTTGTCCTGGAACAGAGGGGGTCTGGTGCTACAGCAAGGGGTAGCATGGAGGGGGCAGAGATCACGACTCCTGGGTCCTGTCTCTGGCTCTTGCACAGTCTTTCTCTCGGTCCTATCTGGGGCAAGCAGTGAGCAAGGGGAATTTATCTGCTCTGAAGGGCAGGATGTTTCCAGAGCAGTGGCAAGAATGGGCCCAGGGGGCCCAGCTGGAGAGTGCCCCAGAGTACCCTATTTCCCCAGGTTGGCATCTCCAGTTTGTGTGCAGAAATTTCTCTGCTTTGTTGCAATCTGAAGAGTGGGTTTCCTTTTCCCCACCGTGACCAGTCTGACTTCAGCAGAATGGGCTTTTCTATTAGAAAACTCCCTTTTTTGTGGGGGGGGAAGGGATGTAATGATTGATACCTTTCTTTTTATCTCCCCAGACCACATAAGGAACAATAAAACACCCCCAGCACCAAACCCTCCGCTCCCCCCCAAAAATTCACTAGCCAGCTCAGAGCGGATGAGAACAAACAGGGCGATGTGGGTTCGGATCTGAACGTTGCTTCTTTGACAACCCCAGGCCATGAAACCTAAAGGTCTGGGGAGCTCTCGGGTCTCCACTTCCCTGGCTGCTGAGACGTGGGTCTCTGAGGAAAGTTTCAGCTGGAAACTATTGTGGGTGGGATGGAATGAATGAGAGTGCGAGGGTTTTAGGGAGATTCATCATCCTATATAGGGGAAGAGGAAGGGTTAATTTTAAATCTTCTTACCCCTCTGCCAGGGAAGAGAGACAGAAAGCTAATGAGAAAAAGAAACTTCCCTGATTCATGGATTTGGAAGAATTGGGGACTGTTCTGTTGGATTGGGGGTTGAACTAGATGACCTCCTGAGGTCCCTTCCAACTTTAATTTTCTATAATTTTCTATGATTTTCCTACAGAAAACCATTAGATCCGCTGACTTGCCCAGCAAAGGCAGGTGCCAGGCGGGAGAGCAGCAAAGGGCAACTCTGGCTCAAATTCAAGACATTTAAGTCCTGAAACGGAGACGATGAGAGAAGAGAGGGGCTCAGGGGATTTCATACCCTCTGACCACACCAATATATCCTAGCAAGAGCCAGTGGCTCTCACCTTCCTCATCCACAAGGAAGCAAAGCCAGGTCCCATCTCCCCACGTTTAAACCCATGAGAATCAAGAGTAAATCTGCCCCTATGCATAAAGGTTGCCCGGATGTAGCTCTATTTTCTTGGACGCTCACTTTTCCTCTTTGCCACCAGGTTGACTGCATGGCTTTTATAAATACCTGTTTCCAAGCCCCTTTCCACCCCCTGAATGAAAACTCAGCCAGGGGAAGAGGCATCCATGGCCTCTGCTCTACATCCTCTGAATCCTCTCCTCCCAAGTCAATGCTCTCCTTGCCTCCCATGGTCTCCCCTTTATTTTCTAGAAAGGTCCCAATCAGCTGGTTCAACAGGGAGAGAAAAGGGGGATAAACCACTGTAAAATATTTTGGAGCATTCCTAATATACAATAAAAGCCGGGCCAGTGAGGCAGCATCTCAGTGAAGGAAGGACACGGGTGGGGGGGGGAAGGGAACGGGGTGGAAACAGCCCCATCAGTCCAACCATCCAGCAGGAGGAGAGGTGCTTGGGACCAGCAGGATCCCAGAGGAGAGAAACCACCGGAGAACAATTATCTTTCATTCAGGTTGTTTTGTAACCCCTCGGCCGTGGTGTGAGGCTGCCGCCGGGGGTCAGAGGCCAGAGACCTGGGCCCTATGAAGTGAAGCCTGACCCCTCGCCCGTGTTGCTCCGCCAGCTTCCCTTGGACTCGTTCAGCCCCTAAAGACCCCCTTTTCTGCAGGCAGAGCAGCGAGGAGAGGTGAAGCATGGGGAGTTGGTGGCTTTTTGTACAGAGTCAAGGAGGATGGACAAAAATCAGCTGACCCAAAACAACCCTCTCCCTGCACCCCTCAGATGTCCCCCTACCAGGGGGAGAGCTCTGTCCCCAGATCCCGGGGTTTGACTCTCTCCAGGGAGGCAGCCAGGCAGCAGGTCTGTATCCCCCGGCTGCTTCCCTGTGGCTTTCAGCCTCTGTGAGCATCTGTCCCCGATTGCTGCTGCCTCGAACCAGTTCCTGTCCCCGCT